CCACCAGCTGATGGACTGTTTCTTTTGTATTAGTTGCCAAACGTGTGGTACAAAATGAGTTCCATGACTTGAATCTCCAAAAGAAGAAGCACACAGTGAGAGTGACGCCTTTCATCAACGGGAAAATTTCAAACCTGAAGGTAAGAGCATTTATCAGATTATCTGTATCTGCTCTTATTCTATTCTAATAAAATATATTTTAATAAATTTGAGTGTTTTGTGTGTTTTGCGTGTGTGTGTGGTGGATCGTCCATCAGTCCAAGATGACGCAGTGTCCTCGGGCGGTAATGCTGACAGGAATACCCGACATCATGGAGCGGGAAACTCTGCAGGACCTGCTAGAAATCCACTTCCAGAAAAACACCAACGGCGGGGGAGAAATTGAAGCTTTCCTCTACAACCCGCTGGGTCAGCACACCTCTGCTGTGTTTGGAGGCGTCACACCAGACTCTGAGGATGAGGAACAGTAGATCCACCACTGCTGCTTCGACAAAGGTTCAGGGTTAATATCATCTACCAGAAATGAAGACCGGAAGTTGTTTTTGTCCCTTGCATGAGGGAAGTCAGCATAAATTTATAAAAGTTATTATTCAAAGGGGATTTTTGGCGTCAGAAAAAGTGGGTGGTAATTTTTCTATGATTGCAGAGATTCAAGTGAAAGTGTATCTATAAAGTATTTAACCTGGGTAAATACTGTGGTATCATAGTCATGCAATACTTGATTATATTGCATTTACATAATTACCCGATGTAAAATATTAAACTGTATGAAATGAAGTTTTTTTCCTGCTAAAATAGAAAAAAAGAAGTTTAGTAGTTGTGCCATATCTCATTTTTTTCTTTCTGTGAAAAAGGTGGCAGCGTCCATCTTTAGTTACTGGAGAAGCGTCTGGATTTCTGTATGCAAAGCAAATGAATTACTTATTTTTAACAAGATTGCCTTGTTGAATGTCGTGGGCTCCATTTTATTGTATTCATAAAAGAATAAAAGTTAATTGTGAGAAAATCCTCTTTGGACATTTGGTGCTTTTTGACACGCTTGTATTTGATAGTGGACAGATAACCCTGACCAATTAAATTATAAGATAAAAAGGCAACTTATAAAGCCAGTTTCATATCCGATCATGGTGTGACAGTGTGAACGGCACAAATCCGATATTTTCAAATCCGACCTGGGTCACTTTCGTATGTGGTACTGAATCGATACATATCTGATGTTTTAGAAAGCGACTGCTGT